AGGATATACAGTAGATCAGTTTTAAAGCTGTGATCTGTGAAACCTGTGAATAGTACTGAGATTTGAACATGGATCAAGTCATTTGGAGAATTGTGCTTGCATCTAAGAGGTTGGGGTTTTGTTTTTTGTTTTTCAAAATATCACAGATCATGGCATGAAGACAGTTCTTCATTCAGGCCTTTCGTCCTTTGCTTCATTCCTGTCTGGTTTGTTCTTCTTGCCATCTTTTTTTTAAAAAAATGTTATTAATTGTACTATCTTGTTTTATTTGTTGCCCAGAGTCCTTGAAAGTTAAGTGCCATACAAATTTGAGAGATAAATAAGTATGTATTTTTCCCCAAAAGTTTATCTGTTCTAGATGTAGACAATACTATCTAAGGAAAATGCTTCTTTAAATTATATTCTGAAAGAATCGTTAGGATATACATATAAGCTTTGCAAGAAAAGGAGGCATACTGTAACAATATAGGCCTCATAATCAAGCTTATGGTCATGAGGTTGCACAGATGGACATAAGAAACCAAGCTTGTATAGATGTGGCAATATTCACATTGTCAGTCTGATAAAACTGTTAGACATGATAGATTAATTAAGTAATGTACAATATGTGTACTGTACAATGTATATAATATTCAAAAGAAAGAACAGTAGAAATGTGGAAAGGCAAACGAAGCTTATTTTCTTGTAGTTTTGATCCAACCTTCCTTTTGATTGATGAATTATACTTGGCTATGCTATTCTGACTGATTCAGATGGTTACTAAAAATCCCCATAGTCATAATGAACTAGAAAAGAATGTTCTATCCCAAATCCTCATTAGTGGAAAGTAGAAATGTTTTGGAAACCAATGATTGATTGTAAAAGATCAATTGTCCTGATCTCTGCTGTCTCATTCAGAAACAAAAATACATACAGTGCTTTTGACTGGGCTATTGCTGACAGATTCAACATTGCACAGTTCTTATAATAGTTCCCATTAGATCCTCAGTGATTAAGGAAAAGACATTAATATTAGGCCATAGATTTCCATCTATATGATAATTTATTTAATATATTTCCATCTCATCAAGCTCTTGTAGCAACTATTGGACAAAATTTATGCATGACTTTATGGGAAAGTTCAGACTTATTTTACATTTCCAAAACTTAGCAAATAGCAAGTGACCCATTTGAGTAACAATGAAGTTTTATTGTACAGAGAGAGACATATACATAAATGCCCAGCAATATCTGTTCTAGCAGATACTAAATATACATCACCAAATTCTCCAGAGTCCTAGCTTTGACTTTCATTATTGATGAAGAAGGCAAGGCATTCTCTTCTGGAACGGTTTGAGATTAAATCAGAGGACATGATCTCAAGTTTTTCTTCACACAAGTTTTACTTTTCTTTCTGAAAATGAAACATTTAATTTCAGAATCATTTTTTTAAAGCTGTCAGGTTACAAAATTTAAAATTGGGTTTAAAAACTATGCTTTGCTCTTGAGTTTTAATAATCAGGTTAGAAATACAAACACTTAAGCAGGATAAATCTCTGTTGACATGTCCCTGTTTTCTTTTGTTTCATCTCCTAGTCTAGATAGCTCTTAATGGTTGACTCGAAATAGCTTTCCCCAAGCTGATACCTTCAAAAGCTCTAAATTCTTCTTTTGTCTTACATATCTGGAAGATAGAAAGGCAGCAAAGTTTGCTCTAATACTGCAATGTTATGCATGTTTATTCAGAAGTAAATTCCACCATATTCCATTCAAGTAAATCAACTGAAATACAATTGGTGAAGATACAGTTTGTTTCAGCAGGTCAGCCTTTTGTTGCAATAATCGTTGTAGCAGGTTTTTGAAATTTATATCTAACATGTTCAGTAGACATTACATGGAAGTGTTCCTTAAAATGTTTGCATTTCTGGTATAGGTTTTAACACCCAGCACTTTATAATCCCAATAAAAAGTACCTTCACTTTTTCACTCATAAAAACAGTGAATTCCTCCAAATAATCATTTTAATGGTTGAGAAATAAACATCTTTATCTTTTTAAAGTATTTGCTGCACAATTGATTTGTTAAGCCAGAAAAAATCTAAATAGCAATGATACAGAACACTTTATAGATTGAAACATGTTTATGGAATATATATATATATATATATGAATAGTATTATGGGAAGAAATATGGAATCATTTTAACCCAGCGGGTGGGGATCTATTGAAAGAATAATAGACATTGGCATAATGGCAAAACCTTTGTTTTATTCAAATTTTAAAATAATATATTACCACAAGTGATCTAGGAATGTGTTGCGAAATTAATTGCAGCCAAAACTGCAATTTATAGGAAGATGTATTGTGGCAAAAAAAAAAGGTATTATGAATAGAGACTGCAAATAAATGTTTTGTTGGCATTCAGTGCTTACATTTGAGAGCATAATGGGATCTGCTTATTCAGAAAAAGTGGTGCACTCCAAGACAAGCAATTCATTAAAAGTCATTTTGTTCCTGTTGATGATTAATATTGGTCCTTGTCTGCAATATTGCAGAGTTATAAATTTTTCAACCTCGTTATAACTGAAGGATTATTTTTCTTGTAAAAGCTGATTTTTTTAAAGGGCATGGATTACCATTATAATGGATTGAAAAGAAAAGAAAGGAACCAACAATATACCTATATTTCAGGTGCTTTTGACTTCTTTCACAATGGGCCTGCTGTCTCCAGAGGGCCACTGATTCAAATTAATATATCACACAATCAGTAATTACATATGCTTGATGACATTAATACATTACCTCTGAACGTAAGAGATTACCTGCAAAATAACCTTCGTAACAGCCATAGTGGAAAAAACAAGATGAACTATCTGGCAGATTTTATAAGGAAATGTGTGCAGAGGTGTCTAATGTTTAATGGAGATCGCAACTCTATCTGCTCATTTCTACCATTGCTTTTAGTTGCAATGGAAGGGGAAATTGTAGGACAAGCCTTTGCTGATATTTGTAATGCCCCCAGATTCTTTATATTTGAAATTTTCAGATTGAAAACTCATTTCAAATTGTATCACGTCTACACTACTAAGTGGACCTAGATACAATGATATTTCTCTTGGCGTCATTTAGATCTTCCCATTTTTCAATAGAAGTCAAGGTGGTTCCTTAGGATATTCCCAGGTAAACATGGACATTGGAATGGAGACAAAAGTCATCATATACATCATGATGCCATCACACAGGTTACATGAAGTGTGTAATTTGCATAATTTAAATAATACATTTAAATAATGACAGAATGTTCCATGTGACATTGAACCATGTTCCAGACTCCCATGCAGGTAGTCCACTACATAAATATTATAGCCCAGATATAGGAGGCTTTATGAAGCCTAATCAGCTTTTATTCCAAATATGATAGTGGTGATGTTATTCTCTTACAGTACTAAAAGAACTTGGACATTTCAGTAATCCTTCACCAAGGTGGCAAACTAAGAGAGAATTTTGATCCACATATTATAGGGCTGTGATGGTGAACCTATGGCATACGTACCAGAGGTGGCACGCAGACCCATTTCTTAGGGTACCCAAGGCATTGCCCTTATAGCTCCAGTGTGCATGCGTGTGCTGGCAAGCTGATTTTAGCCTTCATTTTCACTCTGCGGAGGCTTCCCTGAAGCTCCGGAGGGCGAAGCACAAACCAAAGGTTTGGGAACTGACTTCCAGTTTGCACATTGGGGGCATTTCTTCTCCCTCCGGAGGCTTCAGGGAGATAGTTACACTCCATAGAACCAAGTTATTAGTAACAGCATTATTGGATTGATCCTCTGTAGGGCTTAATGGAAGAGAGGGAGAGAACATTTTATCAATGGGGAGATTTTGGAAATGAGGCTGAAGATGTGAGCAGAGCAGCTGGAGGTTTAGTTTACATCTGCAAGGTCAGTCAGATGTAACTGCTTGGCGTGTTCGCTCGTGCAAGAGCTTTCCACAGGGCGCAAACCACCTGAGTGGAAGGTTCCCCCCCCCTAACCTGGAGGAGGAAAACTGAATTTTTTGTTGATTGCCATGCGGAGTGTGGTGATCAGTGGCATTGGGGGGGGAGAGAGAAAGGTTAAGCTTTGCAATATGCCATGAAGTGGAGCTCTGCAGTGTTTAGGAGGCTGTCGAGCTTTGTAGCATGGAATGGAAGGTGGGGGGGGGCTTTGCAGGCTGGACTGGCAGGGGCGGGAGGAAGAAGAGGTGAGAGGGTGGAATTTGTAGGTGGCAGAAGAGAGTGCAGGCAAAAGCTCCTTTAGGAACATGGAATTTGGCTCAGATCACTAGAGTCAATCCCCTGTGTCTCTTGGGAGCAGAAAACTCAGGGAGCGGGTGTAAATAGGGCGAAAGCTGCCAAGTGTACTTATTTGAATGGAAGGTGCAGAGGGATTTCGGAAAGCTGGGGCATAGGACACTGCCCCTGCATTGAGGAGCTTAACTTGATCTCACCTCCCTGAAGGCAGGAGAATATTAATGATGGTAAGCAGTGGATCTACCTCCCCGCCCCCCAGCATGAAGTTCTTCTGGGATAACGCGGAGTAAGGAATAAACATCCGAGCTGAGGATGAGACAGTCACAAGTGGTCGCAGCAACCCCATGCCAAGTCGAAATGGCTGTGCTGAGAACCATATGATTCTTGTTCCAAAGAACTTGCTTTCTAGGCAGCAGGATTGACTTTAGCGATCAGAGCCAAATTCCGTATTTCTTGCTTGCATTTACTTTTGATTTGATTTGTCTCCAAATAGATGCATACATACATCCCCCCATCTCCCTTTCTTTCTCTTGCCTTCTCTCTTCCCTGAAGCCTCTGGAGGGCAAAAAACAGCCCTAAGGGCAACCCAAAAGTCCCATACTTCCAGGTTGCCCACAGGAAAGCCTCCAGAAGGCCTCGGGGGGGAGGCTGTTTTCGCCCTCCCAAGGCTCCTAGTAAGCGTCTGGAGCCTGGAGAGGGCGAAAATGTCCATCACGTGCCTAAAATGGGAGGTGGGGTCCCGCACACATGCATGGGGGTGTGGCATGCCAGCACCCGACCCCCCTGTGTTCCCCCCACTTTTGGCACGCGATGGCAAAAAGATTTGCCATTGCTGCTATAGGGCGTGATGGGGAATTTTATTTGATTATGTTTACTGAATTAATTTATGGACGATGCAAGTTCTGAACTTGGTATTTCTAGATTTGAAATCTACTGGCTGGTTCTGTGCATTTGCCATTGAATTCAATGAAATTTATGACACAGGCTACTCTAACATTAACTCCCTTTTTGCATATATGGCTAGATAAATAGGTATCTATTACATAAACCTGTTTAGGGATCTGTCACAGAACAAGTGAAAGATTTTTTCAATTTGCTGAAGGAAGTATATAAATGCTAAACCATCACCACCGTTATAAAGTTTGTCACACTGAGCATCATGATTTGCTTCAATGCATTTGTTTTATTTTGATAAGGGAATAGGGATATAAAATCCCATTTAGCACATGTCATCTGGAAAAGAGAGCAAGAACATTGCTAAGGTGTAAGCCTTACATCAATAATTAAATGAGCTTTTCCCATTCGGGGGTTTTCCTTATGGCATAACTTATTAAAAATGTCAAATTTCTGCCCTTTGCTAATTAGCTTGTGGAAAAGGTGAGGAAGGGGGAGATTTCTAGATGAATACTTATGAGCCAGGAATAGAAGCAAGTCCCAGTCATGTTACTAGCTAATATTGTTAACCAACAAAACAAAACAGAAGCATGGTGAGCAACCTATGACCTTCCTGATATTTCTGAATTGCAATTTTTTGTCCTTCATGAAAAGGATATATTTTTGCAAAGTTTGTTTATCAAAACTGGATTACCACTAAATCTCAATGCAGAGCTGGATTATGAGATGCTTAAGACAACTCAATCATCCATCCACATATGCAAGTTTGCCCTCCAACAAAGAGAAATGTTTGGGGAACTCCGCGTGAACATTTGGGACCAAAATATATGTTTTTATTGTGCACAGTCTGAAGAAGTCATCCCATGCTGTATCCATGACCAGAATCTAAAATTGCCTCATATTGCATATAGTCCAGTATATCTCCTATCAGAAAAATGAGCTGAAGGACAGTTATGGAAACCAAAGCAGTGCAAGTATTTTTTTTTTTAAAAAAAAACTATCTGCCATGGTGAACTGTAAGCTGTCACAACTGCTTTAGAGGGCTTCACTCAAGGTAGATAACATTGTTCTTGGTGTTTAGCTGCAGTCTAAATGAAAAATGGATCTGGGGAATTACAGAAAGGAGTTCTGGAGACTACATGTGGAAAAAAATCTTAGATGGAGGGGAGCGGGGGCAGGCTCTGCTTTGCTTTACGTCTAGAGATGTAAATCTTTCTCCAACCTAGGCAATTACAATTTCTTTTTCAAAGCCACTTCCCATCAACTATCAAGGGGGAACCTTGTTTATCTGAGCTACTGGAGAGGACCACTAAATTATGCATCTGTTTCTATAAATAATGATAGACAGGGAGTTAAAGTTCCATTAAAGAAATAACTCTCAGCCCTAGCAGTTGCTATCCATAAAAACCACGGTGAAGCATTGCTCCTGTTCAGGTTATAACAGAAAAGTAACTTTTTAGAGATCTTTACTGATGATGTTTGGATGTATAATTCAGACCATATATGCTGATTTTGGAAAGCTTTGTTCCTTCCCCCACTCCTCTTGAGTAATAGATTAGATTCTCTGCATTGATGAAACTGCTATGTCTCAAGGACAGCACCTTAAAATAAAGATTAGGCAATGCAATTTGGCAATTGTGCTTCAACAGACATAGCTCCAAAGTTAGGATGGGCTAGTGCAATATATTCAGACCTTTAAAAGGCAGCACTTCTCTGAATACATGAAATGTATTAACACTATGGCAGAAGGAAGTTCATCAGTAACCAGTAGATTTTCTGAATCTGCCTGAAAAAAAGGCATTTTCTGTTTCTTCATCAATGAAAAGAGGCTACAATTATTAGCGCACTGAAGAGACATTTAGGTAAATCATTCAATATCCTTGTTTGCTTTATCGCAAAATTGTTTTTAGGGCATTTAGGGCAAGACTCCAATCTGAGTTTTCTTCCTTAGTAAAATAAGCCCCAGACTTGCCCTCAATTGTCCTAGTGATGTAGGAACATGGAAAACAACAGACTTCTGCCCAGCTTCCAAAAATGTTTCATTATGGGGGAAGGGGGTTGGATGGCGGAGGTTTTAAAAATAACCACAAAAGAAGAAGTTTCACTGTTGTGTCTTCATCTGTGAATGACTGCTCAAATTCTCTTGAGTCTCTTTGTGAGTCATAAGGGACTTTGCCTTCCTCAGAATTAAAGTGCACGGCATTCTACAAGCTCTTTTCAACTGTGATCGCGTAAACTGCTTACGACGTTTTCTGTAGGGAAAAAGAAAATAGACAAATGGAGGGATAAGTCATTTATTTAAGAACAATCACATCATCCTTATGTCCGTAGAGGAATGTTAATAATTGATGTAGGGGTCAGAGGAAACATATTATAAAGGAAATTGACTGATAGTGAAGTCCTGTATGTTTCTATGCAGCACAAAGCCCAATTGGATTCAGAGGGTTTATTCCCAGAAAGACATGTTCATTTACCAAAGTTTTGTTCAATTCATGGTATCAGGATAAGCACTGATAAGCACAAGCTACTATGGCTAGTAGTTAGGATTAGTATGTGTTACTATAAGTATTGCACGTGTTGTGCTGCTGAATTTATTACTGAAGACAACAAGCAGGAAGATGCTACTTTTATTCAGATAAACTTCTATGTCTAGTTGGCCAACAATGGAAACAAAAGACTGAATTAGACAGGGATTATGTTAGGTCCAGCAGGGCTTTTCTTGGATTTATAAGATTTATAAGAAAACTAGCTATAATAATGTTATGATATTTGAGTTTGCAATAAAGTATAATGCTTCCATACCATCATCATACTTTCAATTGGCATGGAAGGTCCCCAAATGATTGAAAGTTCCCATGGACATAATTTCATCCGTTGTCAGAATTAACTGAATTAATTAAGTTAATTAATTAACTAAAATCAAAATCTCAAAATACATAAGTAAAGTAACTTTTTTGGGGAATCCTTTTGGAAGAAAAAAGTTGAAATCATTCTATAAATCATGTGACATATTTTAAATATCTCAGTATTTACAAAACAGTAAATATGATACAGTCTCAAATCAATGCCTAACCCACACCTATGTTGGATATAAGAATACATTAAAAAAAACCTAAAATTGGCTATCTAATTGTTAAATTGCATCATATTAATATCTCAAAATTTGAGAAAATATCCATTACTTATGCCCAATTTCAAGTAGTCCACCACATAAAATTACAGTTGAACTCAGTTTAAAATTTGACATAAAATTTAGAAGATTCCCCTATGAATGAATTCATCATCCATCTATACCATTGATTGTTTTAGCCATAGTTTATTAAACAAACACACTGGCTATTTTCACTCTTTAGGCAAAATCAAAATGTATTCTTGTTCAGAAAATACAAATTCTGCCATTATATGCACGCCTGGTTGGATTGGTACAATAAGTTATTGTGTCAAATTCTGGACTAGTATGTATGTTAAGTAAACCAAAACCCAGACCATGGAGAGGATGAGTATTAAATTTAACTGGGACCGTCTTATTGTAAACTACTCTTTCCAAGTTAACTATTATTTTATTTAATAAATGGATGTGACCACCAATCTCACATACATGACTCTGGGTGGCTAACAATTAAAACAAACAAACAAACAAAAAGAAAAACAACAATAATTGGAAACATAAATAATTTAAATTAGCAAAAAGCATCTTTGTCATATGAAGAATAAAGTCCAACTGTGAGGCAGTTTACAAGTCTAGCTCAGACAATCCTACAAGAAAAAGGTATAGAGATATATGGCAATACAGAACTACATGGAAATACAGAGATGCTAAAATAAAAAACCAACAATATTATTTCACTACAGAATTCAGTGGCAAGGGCTGGCAGCAGAGAACATACTTTCCAGTCACTGTAAGGTCAGTCCATCAGACTGCTGTTCATCTAGCCATCAAAGAAGAAGCTAGAGATACAACTGAGACTTGCTGGTATCCTCCTGGTGCCCAGACATGATAGGATATGAGCAGGGATTATGCATCTCCCAGATGGCAGCTCTTTATCCAATTAATGCAATTATACTCTGCCAACCTCACCAGTGAAGAGATACGATTTGAGTTAAGTATGTTGTTCAAACAGTGCCATCATTGTGAAGAAGAAATACCATGGGAGTATTCTGTGTTCAGCCTGCATAAGATTGTGCATGTTATAGTCCGTCTTCCTATTTAAGTGAGGTGGGACATTAATACTTTCTATATATAACCTGATTTATGGTTTCATTTATTGAAGGTGCTAAATAAAACTTTGATAAATAAAGCTTTTAGTGGGCTGCTTACACTTCTACACTCAATATATCTTACTAACTACAACATGAAGATACCTGCCTCATCATTTCTTAAGTTCAACTCCACATGATGCAGCCTCTATCCTTCTCAGCATTCACTAAATTTAGCTTTTCCAACTTTTCGTGTTTTCCTGATCTGAGCCTCACTGTACAAATAGATATTCAATCCCTCATTCACAATCTCATTGATAAAGTGATCGGGAGCAGGTTTTTGCCAGGTTCCTATTCCCTGTCAGGTGCTGCAGTGAGAATATTCCTTATCCTAAACTCTGGCAATGATTGGCTGCAGGAGAGACCACACATTTATTTTATACAGAAACAGCTGCCTGCATAGTGCCTGAACCACACCTCCAATTCAGGCATTACTCAGCCTCCTTACATACATTGGAATATGGTCTTGTGGGAGACCAGTAGATCTTGCATTTTCTCCATGTTCTATGCTCTATTATTTTCTTTTCGCTTCTTTTCTAGGAGCTGGCTGGGGAATTCTGGGAGTTGAAATACACGTATTTGAAAGATGCTAAGGTTGGCCACATTGGTCTAGAGTATTAGGTACTTCACCTAGTTTATACCATTTGTCTATTTGATCAGCATTGACTCTATCTGCTCATTTAAATTATTATTATTATTTTTAAAATGGAGGATTATTAATCTGACGTTCCAACCCTGCAGCATCTCTCTAGTAATCTTGCTAGTTTTTGAAGAAGAAACACTGATGGGTATTCTGTGAGACAGGTGTGTTTGCAGGAAATGGTCAAAGAAATCAAGATGACACATATAATGGTATCATCTAAATTCTATACATTTTTTATCCATCGATACACAAAAACAGATTTTAATTGTACTGACATGATCTCCATCATTATTTTTTTTAATCACATACTGCAGATACCCCTGCTCTGAATAGTTCTTAAATTGATCTTAAATTGATCAGATTGGATCTAGTACTTAAATTGTCTATTGTTCCATCTAATCCACATACTATTCTGTCTATACTTACAAGCTTGATACTGTCACCAGTAATTCTGTCACAAGCATTCATAAATCTACAGAGAAAGTATTTTCAGTAATATTTGAACATAAATGAGCCAGATAAAAATTGAATGCTAATGCATATATGTGATGTTTTTTACATTAACAAAAATGTGCCAAGCTAGGCCATCCATTCTTCTCCACTCCTGCAATGTTCAGTCTTCGTATGTATGTATGTATGTATGTATGTATGTATGTATGTATGTATGTATGTATGTATGTATGTTAAAAGAACAAAAAGATAATTTTCTTCCCCCTCCTGCAGCCAGCCTGTTTTCTTGATACAACAGTTGTTGTGTCCTTATTCAGTTTGTTCATTATATTTATTAAGGCAGCTTGGAAGCCATATAGGAACTAAGCCACCATAAAAGTATTATATAAATTATCCAGAAAATGCTGTATTCCTAGACACTAATGTGCTTTTAGTCTACTCTAAATGGTGATTTGGTTCAATGTAAGTGCGATCTATCAAGCCTATGAAATATGTGGGTGAGTATACTTACAAGCACCATGATGATACAATTAAAATTTTGCCCATTTTTGTACATGTCGCACAATTTAAATCACACTGTTGTGGTACTATTGTGACTTTCTTGACCAAACAGTGTAGACATCCCTGGCCTGCACACATATATTTTTGAGCTCTTTAAATTCGATTTTCATTAACAGAAGATGATTATCTATAGGATGGTAGGATTCCCTATTTATATTGAACACGCATTTTGTGATTAGACAGTTTGACAAAGTATTGTTATAGTTTTGGGAGACAAGGAAGAAGAAAGATAAAGAGCCTAGCTCATTTTCTCTTTGAAATATATTTTTATCAAAAAGGCAATAATTGGGGACAGCACAGGTCCCCAGTCTTGAAAGTTCAATTTCCTGTTTCTTTATCCTTTTTTTTTAATTTACAGTGGCCATTAATTCAATACCGTTAAGAATAAAACATATTATTTGGTGCTCTTATGAGAAGCCATTTTTGAATAGGGGGCGGGGATTACATGTTGCCCCATCTTGTTGTTTTGAGAATTCCTGAAGTGTGTAGAGCAGAGGACTTAAATACAGCTTCACAGTGCTTTACAGCCCTCTTAAGTGGTTTACAGAGTCAGCATATTATTCCCAACAATTTGGGTCCTCATTATATTATAAGTGCCATGGAATTCTTAGCCTTCCATCCTTCCGAGGTTGATAAGATGAGAACCCAAATTATTGGGGACAATATACTGACTCTGTAACTCACTTAGAAAGGTCTGTAAAACTAATAATATCTATTGCTATTTCTGCATGTTGCTATGCAGCAACTAGAGCAACAAGCAATTTTTACAACAATATATATATTCATTTTGCAAGAGGAATATATAGAAAGTGTAATCAATTTATATGACATAATATCATATTGCTAGTTATTAGAAATCAATAGTACACTCCTATGGATGTTTACTAATCAGTATGATCCATTTTGGGTCTTAATGGGAATTATTCTTATTCTTTAAGGAACTATAGGATTGTTGTTAAAAGTTCCTCCCCCTCCCTTTGGAAAAATCTATTTTCTGAAATCAGATTAGCGTCCATTTTGCTAAATTTTAGGAAATATATTTAAATCTGGATTTTTAAAGGAACAATAGGAGTAATGCTGCTATGGGTAATGTACCCTGATCATGGGCTTTTTTCTTGGTGCTTGATTGTTCCTCAGATCTCCAAGGATTTGTAAGAGCAATTGTAACTACATTGTTATGCTAGTATATTGGTATTATTAACTTTCTTACTGCAAGAGATCAGTGTAATCCCTCAGAATCCTTTTGGATTAGAACAACACATAAGACCCACAAATAAATGAGCCAAAAACAAGTGAGAATAATTATCAGCTTTGCTTTTCTCACACCTTGTCACATTTAAA